CAAAGCCAATGTTGTATCCAGTTAATTGCTCACCCTTCCCGTGCGGCAAAAAAAACCGCGCCATATTGCGTCCAGCGCGCACTAACCACCGCGAAAGAGAAATTTACGAATAAAGCCCGAATGGTTACACGCTGCATTTAAAATTAGAACCCTTTAGGGCGCCACACCGCCAGACAAAGGGCCGAATGGCAAATTGCCGGCAGGTAGCAATAGCGAATATGTCGAAATGGAGTCCCAATAATTACTAAGGGCTCTAGTTTAATAAATGGCTCTTTTTCTAAATTATGAAGGGCTGATCGCGCCATACGGACATACCTGCCGCGAACCCTTCGCCCTTCATATAATGAGGTATAACTCTTCATTGGTTTTATTTGCAGAGTTTTTTATGTGAGGCTGGCGAGTGGGCAAACCGAACTGATCGTTTAGAAAGTGGTCGCCGCTGACCATTATACCCGCTACCCCAATACAATCACTTCTGAATTATGGTAACAAATAGGTATAAAGTCTTGTGAATCAATGCTTAAAAAACAGAACATTTGTTTCTATTTATAGAAAACGATATGCAATGTGCGTAACAGCATAACATGTAAGCCCATTGTGATACAAAACAAATACGGTAAACAACATTTGCTACTGACAAAAGGAGTTCCTTTTAAATAGGTTTTATTTATCATTGTTTGGATAAAACAAACTCAGACGACATGTAATTGTACGACAACAAACCCTTTTGCCCGGAGGCAGTAGAGTGTGTCGCGATGACTTGTAATTCCGATGTTTTCGCTGTTAAAATCGTATTTCCTGAAGACGGCATTGATCGGAGTTAGCGAGGCGAACACGAGTATTTCTAATATGCCCGGACAAAGCCCGGCTCCCAAACAATGCCTTCAGAGACTATTTAAAACGAATCCCTTGACGACACCTACGCACACAGCATCGAACTGGTGTATGGTACAAACTACACACTTATTGGCAAATACCTAGATAGCTATCTTCCCTAAGTTTTTGTAATATAGAAACTCTGTTATATTTTTTTTGTTTTGCTAGCAAGTTATTTCTAATTAAGATTGCAATTCTTTTGAAACATTAAATAGGTATATTGCTAAGCTAGAAGATAATAGACATAACAAAGTATTGTGTTAAAAGTACAATAAGCTAAAAATAAACGGTACCTACATTCAATTATAAAAAGCATTGTTTCTGCTACTACAAGTATCACAATTCGAAAAAATAATTTCCACTTGTTCACCTCCTGTGGCTTGCCCCACACATGGCGGAAGCTCGCAGAACGCTTCGATGGATTTAACCGTCTAACTATCGGCAATCCTTTACTAGTGCAAGCCTTTGACGCGCGATAGACCAGAAATATTATTAATATTGTCAAATATTTTGGCGGCTCTCACAATGCACCCTTTATCCCCCATCCCCAATTAGGCTCAAGAGAATTTTGTCGCTAAACTTTCTGAAGATTTATCGCTTGCTCTGGATTAAAACATTTATTGTGAGTGAATTGAATAGGGGCACAAGTAAAAAAGTTGTCTGATATCCATTACAAAGATATTTTGTTAGTTGTTAGAAACTCTGGCGGACTGGGGGACAACGAACCGCTAAGTACGTGTCCGCGCTACAAGGCCGCTCTTACATAATTTTGTATAATGGCCGAAGAATAATAACAATCAATACCTACTAAGATGTCTGGCTGGAAATAAATGATCTGTCTCCGATATCTTTGGAGAGGTTTTTCTTGAAGGTGTGATAATGAGTGAGTATTATTGTAGTCATGTCTGAGACTAAGTTGGTTACAAGTAAGTAGTCTATGTTTTCAATTTGCTCCTTTTTATATACTACTTACTACTTTTAAGACACGACAGAAAATATGACTAATAGAGCTGGTGTTAAGTAAGTGTTGTCCGAATGGGTAAGTATACGCCTATACGATGACCCATCCTTTTTTGGCCACAGGACAGTGGGCGTGATATACAAATTACTTAAAGAAATTTACTTTATTCAAACTCAATATTTAATTTGCGGAAACTCTGCGGACTATGAAAATAAACCTGAAATACATAGCCAGCACGTTTGGGTGTGGCGTCCTCACCTTCCGCCTAATGCAGGTGCTTACCGGGCACGGCAGCTTTGGTGGGTTCCTGTTTTGGATCCGACGGGAGGAAACGTCCGAGTGTCGTCATTGTGGGAACCACCTAGAGGGCAAAGTAGAGCATACCGTGGCGGTGTGCCTTGCTTGAGCTGAGCAACGCCGTGTTCTAAGTAAAGTGATAGGCGGAGGCGACTTCTTGCGCCTTAGCCGAGGCCATAGTGCGCGAGGCGTGCGTAGAGCGAAAGGAACTGGGAAGCCGTCTCCTTTATCCGCGAAGCAGTTATGCTTGCAAAGAAGAAAGCTAAGCGCGTGAGGGAGCTATCCTTCTCTTCACGCCCCAGCCGCTGCAGCAGGCAACACTTTTTCACATATATTTAGTGGATATTTATTTTAAATCTAACTGAGGCTTCCAATTCTCTACATAAATACTTAATTCTTGGTAAGTAGTAGGTACCTACCCATATTACAAACATCGACAAAAATGCGAGCAGCACGACGGGGCACCTCTCTAATACGGTACATTATTGTAATGTTACTCAATTGTTAGCTTTTTACGTCAAAGTCCACATCAGACGTCAGCCGGTGGACTGTGGACACAAATACTGTCCATTAATACACGTCAAGTAGCGAGATACTGAACTAAGATCACATCATTAATATTGAGCAGTGACTAAAAGTAGGCGGTGGCAGAGGATACATTTCATGGAGAGCTTGCTTTTACCCTTTACGATTGGCAATCTATTTGTCAGAGAAAAGAAAACACATTGAAGCAAGTTAAGAAAGGCATCGGATCTCTAGCGACCTAATTGTGCCCCTAATGTAGTTACCACGTGCGTTATGCCCTCTAACGATGTCGATTTTATGCCTGTCCTTACCTTAATATAGTGAGATAACGATATCATTTCACATGGTAACTCGGAATGTTTATTTATTCAGGAATACGTGTCGTATTTTTAAACATGCAACATTTAAAATTACTTGTTTTAAAAATGCACGTTCGCTCATACAAAAAGTATAAATCTATTAGAATACCTATCTAAAAGATTAATTAGGCTTGGTTTTATTATCTACTAGTTTTATTATCAGGTTTTAAGAGCAGTAACCCGATATGTAACACAAAAAAGTTTTATCTTATAGTTTAAAATCAAAAAGAGGAGGTACTAAGCATGTTCAGAAACGGGATAGTTAGTTAGTATCCGCAACATTAAAGAGTTATTAGTTCTTTGCTGGTCTTTGTGTTGTAGATTTGAAAATTGGGCGATTTGAGGTATAATGATGTTGGGAAGGATTAGCCCACCGGTAACCTCACTCACATAGTGAAATACACTCCGTTGTTTCACGGCTGGTATTCTGTGAGGTCCTATAACCCCGGGCAGACCAGGCTAAAGCTGTGCTCTCCCACAATTAAGAACACACACACTTAAGTTATTCCATACAATTTAAAACTCGGAAACATTGAGTTACTAGGCGTTAACAAATTGCAATTGATACCGATGAAATCAGATAAGTAGTTTGCAGACCCACACGAGAATTTAATTACTCATTTCACTTAATACATATTAACCTCTTTTCTGCCGGTATATGACAAACAATAGAAAACACATTGTCTCGCGTGGGTCTACGCTCACTTCAGGGGTCACGGGTTAATAACCAACTGGACTTCCAGCTTTATCGTTCAATTAGCCTGTTGTGTTATATATTATTTTCGAAATAATCAAAAATAATAGATATTATACTTATTTAGGATGACAGCGAGAATTCACGAGAACAGCGCGCTTTGTAAAACATAGTTGGTATGTATATGTTGTAGGTACGGCAGCAAAAGTTGTTAATAAAAGCTAAATTCCAATACTAAAATAAATTCCATTTCGGTAAAATAATAACTACACAGCACATAAAAATAATATTTGTGCAGGTACATGGAACTGCAAACTATCCTTTGCTATAATAAATTATATAAAGTGTCCATTGACAATGCGCGAGCGCAGGCTCGGTACAAAGCGAAGCTGCTTCGGTCAACCCATTAGCGCGCGCGCTGCGGGGGCTCATGATCACTTTGCTCGCTTTAATTTATGTACTTTGTACCATTGTCCGGCAACAAAGCATGCGTTTTATAGCATTCGGCTGCCGGACACCCAGATTAACATCTATGCCCGGCATCGCCTTTCTCTCGTTTTGTGCAACACACAATAGACATAACCGGGCAGCCACCTGGCTATAATAGCTTCAACGTAGTCAACAAAATAATCGCACACACACTAAATAAAAAAATTTAGGTACATAAATATATTATAGGCAGAAATACAACAATAACAATACTTTTTTACCGTTTATTATTTCGACTTGTCCATTAATGTTAACAAATTATACGGGTGTCCCTGAAAGTATGGGTCATATATGATTAACAGGCATTAATTTTCTAACTATTCCATCTAGAAATATTGGTCTAAATAATAACTGTTTTAAATAAAAACTACATCGATCTCCCTGTCATTTTATGTTCATAACTAGTTCTTTAATTAAGGCGGTTATTGACTGAACACATTTCAATATTTTTCATGTTTTTGAAACTGTTACTTGTAACTGTTGAACTGATAATTGAACCAACATTGCCAGATGAGAAAGTAAGACAGTCACCTCTATTATATAGGTACCCATGTTCGACTAGATCTATACTGCCAGAGACAACTTGTGTATCCGACCTACAACTGATGACATAATAGTGCCTAACTATTCGCCTAAAATACATTTATCTGTACTCATTGTGTTTAATATAACATCATTATTAAACCTAAATATATGAAGATCATAATAGTTACTAGAATCCCTACTTGAAACTACTAAACTAAAGCAGTAAGTAAATAATCGTGTTTAGTCAGCCATTTTTACAATAAACCTTAAAAAGTTACTCATTTTCTATCCTCATGTCTCCATCATCAGCAATAGGCGTCCGAGGACCATTGACAAGATCTCCGTGGACCCTAACACGATACACGCAGGTGTGCACAGGGTTGCCCCAGTTTGTAAGGATCCTTATTTTCACAAGGTGGTGACCCTTAGGAGATGGAAACTTCACCTCAAAGTACTGGATAGGCTTGCCGTCCTTGTCATACTCAAAACTACCGTAGTCATGAGGGTACGGGTCAAAGCGCTTCTCTAAGCCTTCGACTTGAATGAGGCGTGGAGCTGATGATATTTCTCTGCAAAACCATCGAGATAGAGGAACTAATTAGAACCGAACAATAATTTACTGACTGGCATTCCACTCAGCAAATGCGCTTTTTTTTATTTTGGAAGGCCGAAAATCATCAAATTACTTCTATCGCCCGGGATGAAGCAAGAACGAGTGTCAGACTCTTACTGATTAAAAAATATCCGTTGCTTCCGAGGCAGCGGTGCCTTATTATACTCATCAATATAAGTTTATCTTGAATAAGAAAATACACGTGTATTGCGCGTTTTCGCGTCAATATTAAGATAACATAACCCTACCTAGGTAGGGTCACGATTACCACGAAATAACAGGCCGTGATAATAGAGATACATATGTCAACAGGATGCAGAAATTGGGTTGTTGATGATATTAATTACATTACCTAATTCCAAGGGCCTTCTGTAGTTCACTTAGAAATTAAAAATTACAGCTGTTACGAATCTCAGAAACTGCCTAAATGATACATAACCTAGGTTAACTTACTGGTGAATAAACCTCGCCTGTTTTCTGCTATACTTATATGATACTTTCAAACAAAGAAAACACATTAAATTAGGTGTGTACCTCGTCGGCGCAATGTGCGGTGGTATATGTTCGATGCTAATGCCGGTGATCCGTACTGTGCCCAGCAGACGTATCGTGGCCTCTCCCCTGGAGCCCTTGAAGGCCCAGCACTCTCCTGGCAGGACACCTGGCCTGATCATAGCTCTGGCGCCCAGACATTCACGGCACATCCAAGCAGTTAATACGTGCAATGCCCAACCGACTGGAGATTCGTAATTCATATGTTCCACAGTATCTCCCGTGTCCAAGATTCGTGCCCCAGCTGACTCTAGCGCGTAGTCCGCTAACTGTTGAAAAAATAATAAGTCTAACACACTTTCAAAATCGAACTGGTATTTTTAAGTTTGAACTGCTACTATTTATGTACCTACGATTGGTACAGGATACAAAAAAGGCTGACAATGTTGAGGCCACAATTTCTTTATGATTTATCTGTCTAAAATTATCTAAATTTTAACATATTACAGACACCATGGCGTCCGCATCTTCCACCTGACGCAGATCCTTACAGGATAGGCGCAAGTTTAGTGAGGTACCTGTTTCGAATAGCATCCGAGGACACGTGGGAGCATGAAATGGCAATATACCTATATAAAATCGTCGTTGTGGCCCGGAGGAGGTTAAGGCGCCCGCTTTTCATATATTAGGGTGCGGCTTCGAAACCTGGCAAGTACCAATGAGACAATTTCCGAGTGATGTTTACTTTGTATTATTATTTAGACACCACTGATATATGGTGAAGGAAAACATTGTGAGGAAACCTGAACTTATAATTTATAATTATAAGTTTCAAATCACCAATCCGCCTTGAGCAAGCGTGGTGATAAATGCTCAAACCTACTCTGTGTGAAAAAAGGCCTTTGCTCTGCAGTGGGCACTTATATGATGTGCCCTGCTTGGACAGAACATCGTCGTATCCTCAGGAAAGCGATCGGCTGCGGCGACCTCTAGCCCTGACCATTGTTCAGGCTATGATGCCGATCGAGAATAACTAGGAAGCCGTCGCCTCCTTCAGCCCAACAGTAATACTCGCAAAGAAGCAAGTGTAGCTCTAGAAGAAACGCTACTCGGATACGCTCCCGCCTCAGCCGCCGCAGCAGAGAGTCCGGGCGTCGGGGATCGCGCCACAATCTCCGAGCGCCGCCCGTAAGGACGGATGGCGAGAAGTATAACTCACTGGTCAACCAGAACCAAAAGCAACAGGGTGGTCTAAACACATGATGATTTTGCCACTTAAAACAGCCAGTTATAAATACCTACTTTATGACTACAATATTGTTGGAGGTATTTCAAATAGATAAAAGAAATCGCAGGATAAAAAAAATCGAAAACTAACAATCCCCAAACGGAAGCACGTGTAAAATAAAATATATGGAGATGATTGACAAAGATGTAACAGACACAAACAAAGTGGCTATCCGGGGTAGTAGCACACATGTGGCAAGGGGTAACTTACTCCTACAACCTGTGCACACTTGATAACGACATATTATTATTGAGTAGGTAGGTCGTTTCTAAAAAATAGAACAAAAATTTAAATTTATTTACAACCTAGTTTTGATAAGTTTGAAAAAGGTAGGTAATGCCATCTAGGTAGGTACACATGTGCCTAAATCATTTAGATTTTGAAATTTTCATTTTAGAAATCATCTGTTAGCTTTTCAATTGTGGCAATTCTAAACACAATGGAAGAACAATATGTGCGTGAAAATACTTTAACACCTTCGAAGCTGGAAAATATCTTTTAAACGTATCTAATAAAATTAAATGGTTAGATTTTTGTCTTTTTATCAAACGATAAAATGTACAAACATTTTTAAATAGTCATTCACCTGTCTATCAAAATCCGGTGCATCCCCTATTTGTCTATTCCGCAGTCGCAGTACCGGATCCACGAGGGCCTCCTTGGCACGACCAGCTGCCGCAGCTACAGCGGGCAGCACCGAAGAGATGCGCTCCATCTCATTCTGCAGCCTCTCATGCTTGCGATTTACCTTAAATATTTTCGTACCAAGTAACTAGGTGAACGCACACATTGGTCTGCCCGGTTGACGCGGTGGCACTGGCAAGGAACCTGGTAGCCGCGTAACGTGTAGCGGGTTCGATTCCCGCACGGAACAACTCTTTGTGTGATCCACAAATTGTTGTTCCGGGTCTGAGTGTCAGGTGTATGTGAAATTGTATGTTTTTATCGCACCCACGACACAGGAGAAAATCCTAGTGTAGGGAAAAAAAAGGTGAACGCACTACACATGTAACATGGCACTAAGCACGCAGGAGGGAGAGTAATCTCAAGCAACTGATGGTGATGAGGAACGTAGAGGGTGCACGGCCTAGAAACCGGAGTCCAAAGTAATAGATAGTCAGATCAGCTGGTTAACCACTGCGCTATCCACGCAGTCTATAATATCATTTTTAATTTTTGATAGGTAACTGTGAGTTTACTCTCAATGGTGTCAATAGGTATAAATATAACTATCGTGAGACATACTAAATTAACTAATATTCGCGGGTTACTACTGAGTAGGCTGCGCGACGTCGCCGCGTCCGCGCACGCTGCTCATGAGGAAGAACCCCTCTGTGGTTCGAAACTAGTAGAGCTTTTCTCAACATTTACACGTGAGTAACCCGCGAATATTAGTTAAGGTATAAATATGTGTGCAATCACTTAAGAGCAATCAAATAATTACCGAAAACTTTCTCCAAACCAAAAATCACTTTGAAATTTAGACTACTAACGCCATCTTACAAACTACTAAAAAAGTTGTGGAAGTACATTTTTGTAGATTCGTGCAAGCAAGCAAGTTGTAGCACCTTATAATAGTGCGTAGCAAGTGTTACTCAACGCCATCTAGATTGCCGAATGCGAACTATCAACATTCTTGCAGAGCTTTTGTCATAAAAATTGCTCAGAATACAGAACAAACCAGAAGGCGTCATCGCGCTTCAAACTAAAGCAACTAAAACCATTCTCAACTAGAATAGTATGAAATTTCTACGATTAGTCAATTTTGGCACGTGGCATGTCGTGACGTATTTACGAGTATCAATTTTAATTTCATTATACCGTCTTATGTAATTACTACGAGTAAAAATGCGACTGGAATTACGAAAAAAGTGGATAAGATTACATTTCATCTGCAAGCATCGACTGCAATAGTATATTTAATTAATTATTGAATTTTTTTTATCGATTTATTTTTCTATGAAAATGATGCGGCCATTTTGTGAGTGTTGTAATTTTTGGTGAAAAATTTACCCACTTATTTATTTGTTGTGGGTTATATTTTTGTACATTATGGAGCCTGTGTCATATTAGTTTCCCTGACAAAAAAATAAATACAAAAAATACAAACGGTTACATTAATTTTGGAAACCATATAGCCAGAGCATAGTTTGCTCAATTCACTTTGAAGAGACATATTTATGACAAAGGTGGTTTGAAAACAGCATATCCTACTAAGATATCTATACTAATTATAATGCTGAAGAGTTTGTTTGTTTGCTAGAATGCGCTAATCTCAGGAACTAAGTAAAGTAAGTAGACTTCTAATCTTTAGTTCCGAGTCTAAAGACAATACATATAAAAAAATAAACCAGCAAAAGGGAACGCAATAAAACCTTTGTACTTATTGAAGCTTTATTTTATTTGTTGTGTATAGTAGGTGTAACTAAAATTAACACAGCCAGAAATTGTCAACTTTTATGATACCTCTATGAAATGTGTGAACAACTAGTCTGTTGCATTTATCGTAAGTTTACCTTTTTTGTTGGGTTTACTCGTATCTTACCCTCCTGTTGTAAAATTACCCCAAACCAAGGGAATTGTTCCACTGTCGGCAACACTACGCGGGTAGGAAGTGCGGCTGGCGGGGGGATTGACGTATTGTTTTTGGACACATTTGACGACATGTAATTATGAGTGAACGCGGTTTCTGGTTTGTTCTGTATTCAGAGAAAAATTGGTATATAGCGATAGCTGTTAAGTTGCTGATTTTAAGCAAGATGTATAATTTCATAAATATTAAATAATAATAAGACACGATGTTTAAAACTATTTTCACATTTGTTCGACGTTATAAGTACGAATAGGTACCTAGCTCTGTCCGTTCAAGTTCTATTGTGATTACAAAAATAAAAACGCCTAGGTAGGTACTGTCTAAAAAAGTACAGAGAAATAAAAATATTAACCTCAGATAGCCCTCTGGTGAGCTGCATAACAAAGTGTTTGATGTCTGTGAAATCTCCATCCAAAGTTTCTTGTGTGGGACCCCAGAAATATGCGTAGACATGCAAGCCCAGCAACAACGATAGTGAAACACACACGAAAGATCGGAACACGTTTCCAAAGTACCCTTCGGGTCTGTACCCATGATCCATAAATTATATTGTTATTCTAATAATAATTTCGATTTAATACTTGATTGTTTTCTAGTATAACGGGGTGACGGCTTTCGAAACCTAAGAAGTCGTTTCTAATAAATACATTAAATATTAATTTAAAATTTTCTATTCAAAAATAGTAAATTGGCTTTTGAATTCTTGAAATATTTGACAAATGACAATTTCTAGCAGTCAAAAAGTACAGCACTCTAATGACACAGGTAACTTGTCTTCATACTTTTTTGAAATAGTTACGTATCACATAATAATAAAGGTGTCTTCGAATAGTTTTTAGACATTGTAAACATCCATAATAATGTAAAACATTGATAATTATTGGCCTAATAATTGCCTTTGTTGTAAGGGGGTAACCCATCAAATGACTTCTCTCGCCCATAATGATACGAGAGAGTGTCTGTCTAACAAAGTTAAAAGTATACTCTAACGTCTCAAAACACTCCCTTTCCTTGTTCTGCTCCAGGCCGAGGCCGTGGTACCTTATTGCGTTTACCCAGCAACCCCGGCTGAACACCGGACATGTTGGCCCTGTCTATTGGCTCTTAGAGACGCACGCGTAACGCTACGCGTCGTACACTCGGTTACGGTTCCAATCGTGCGGTGAGCTACGGCTGCTGGGTTGTGAAGAGGGTAGGTCCCTCACGCGTTCCGCCTCCTTCTTCTTCTGCGAGCTTCACAACTTCGCAGAAAGAGGAGAGACTTCCCAGTTTTTCCCATGGACATTTTCGCCGTCGACCCTGAGGACACGGCGGAGCTCAGCACGAGCAGAGCACTCCGCCACCAAGCTCCACCGTATCCTCCAGGTGGTCCTCACAATGACGACACCCGGGTAGCGCCTACCCGAAAATTTCAAAAACTGCCTAAGTATGATTTAGTAATGGTCATATTATGATAACATGTAAAAACACAGGTTTAGGGTTTTATGTCGTGTATTAATACAAAATGGCTAAAACAGCAGATTGTTACATAATTCGTAACCACAGAATATTATTGATACATAGACATACAACAGTATATTTGAGACATTTTATAGTACATACATTAATGTAGGTATCCTAAAGGAAGAAATCATACTAACTATGTATTAATGTAGTGCCTAGAATTGCACCCTTTAATACTTGGAACCGAATTTTAATGAAAACAGGAATTAAAGAAATGATTGTGGTAAAATTTTAATCATATTATGCTAATCTAGGCACCCTGATCGCAAGTTATGTAAAAATCTGCAGTAAACAAATTTACGCTTTCTGGTTTTGGGTTGCGTATTCGATTTGTGCGGCGGCCACGGACTTCATAGCTTCGTGTGCGGACTGTACATTACCGCGCCACGCCAGCAACACGTCACGCAACTGTTGCCACTGCGCGCGACCGAACGTGCGGTGCATCGTACTTGACACGCGGACGACTCGCTCATTCTGGTCCATACGCGCGCGCACTAAACGGGTCTTCAGAACTGAAAACAGTTATCATTAATTAAAAAGTGTTCGTTCCCCCCCTAAAAAAGACTTTCCTTGGGCCCGGTTTATGTTTAGTAGGAGAATGTCACCCCAACGACAGACCATCGTAATAAGTCTACAATCGGCAGTTCACTTAACAAATGCAACAGAATAACCTCGAGTGGGACAAACAGCGGGACACCGTGAGGCGCCTCACGACTACTCTGTCAAAAGTGCAGCAATCAATTTTTTTTTATTAGCCGGTGTATAAATATATACCTATGGAAAAATGGAATGAAAGTCTTAAGGGGATAAAATACCTGCTGCTAAGTATGAAAATATTTATTAACTTTAATTTACCTTCAATGATGAATGCCTCAACATCTTTCTCCTCAATTTGGAGTTCAGAAATAATTTCATCATAGCTGAGTTCAGGGTTGACCTCAGCCATTTGCATGAAGGACAGTATCCTCATTTTCTTTACATTTTGTTCATGGTCTAAGCCTAAAAAGAAATCATATTTTTTTTGAGTCAATAAATTAATTATCATACATTTTGTTTAGGCTTATTGGTTCAGTAAAAAAACACACCTTGAGAATGAACGAATTCCTTGTGATTCTGGTAGAAGGTCTGATAGCTGGAGAGTTTCTCTGATACGAAAATAGTGAGAAGGTCGTGGATAAGTTCACCTTCTAGGAATCTTACAGGTTTGAGGGACAGGAGAGGATCCAAAAGGAATGTAGTGGGATCAGCCAGTGCAGTTGAGATACATTTGATAGCATCCTCTCTTGCATAAGATGCATTTTCGTCAGTATATGTGCCCAGCAGTTCAATCATAACCTTTGAAGCCAGTTCACTGAAATAATAAATAAGTGTAGCTTAATAAAATGTTTGTAAACACACCCATGACACAGGCGAAAATACTAGTGTGGGGCAATGTTTTTATAAAAGAGAAAGAAAATTTTTGAATTAATAAGTAATTAGTAGTAAGTATAATTTGAAATAATATAAGAAAATGTTTGTACAATAAGCTGACAGAAAAACAGGATTCAAAACTAGGGAATAAAATTTAATAAAACTAAAGATTGGATCATAGAGAGTAATACAAAAGTTACCTGTTCTGGTCTTTGACAACTTGATGTAACAGTCTGTATAGTTTTTGCATTTGTTCATTGGTCGGAGGACAGCCAGAAAACTCTTTCCTCAGTTGCTCAACACTGGTGAAGACCTCACGCACGTAGCCAACTCGCGCTGCCAGCTCTATTACATGGTAATATACATGGTATCGGAGAGGCGAGTTGGCCTCCAAGTTGTTGTATAAGCGCCATAGTCTGGAATATTTTAACAGAAATGAGATTTCCAAAATGTTATAAACAATTTAAACACTGTTTGAGCATTTCCAAATCCATCTATGGAGTCAACGAAGAGCATGTTACTACTTATTCATTAATGTTTTCATTTATTAAGACTAAAATTCAACTACTCTTGACTATTCCAGTTATCACACAACTCCTCATGCATGGTAAATGTGTTTCAAATAATAATGAATTTATGCTGAACCAAATAATAATTTCAAATAAAATAAGTGATTTCTTTAGAAATTGAAAAAAAACTTACGCCTGTAGTACCACCATACCGAGCTTGGGTCCTGGTGCCTTCGAAAGCCTTTGACTGAAGGCTACAATCAAATTTTCTCCTCTCTCCAGTGGGATCTATAATGTACAAGAATATAATTTGAATTAATTACCCAAAATGATAATAATCCTTGTTAAGTTTTGTTTTATTTTATGTTTTAAAGAACCAGATGTTTATACTTTTTGAAAAAGGGTTTTCAAAAATGTTTAGGTATACTTTTTATATAACTTAATTAAATGTAAGTTGTTCGATGTAAAATTTTAATTTAAAGCACTCACCGACACCATGATAGAAACAATACTGTTGAGGACAGCTTCAATCTCAGCTTCATTTGGTTCCTTGAAACAAACATCGCAAACTCCAACAATTTTATGCAAGTCGTCTTCTATTCCTTTTGGAGACTTCTCTTCAGCAATCTCCGCACCGAGACTCTTGAAGTATTTCCTTAGTTCTAGAGCCTGAAACCATGGACATTTCCAAATGCATCAACATTCTAAAAATTCGTAACTTTTACCGAATACGGCTAGGTTATGTTGACGCGTAAACTTACTTGATCTTCAAGAGATACATCCATAAAAACTGCTGGACCTTGCATTTTGTTGTCTGTTTCCGTGTATTCCTTTAACTTTAATTGAAACCTTCCCTAGAGGAGATAATAATAAAAAATACATGTGCCACAAGCAGTTTATGACACGGCACGGTGTTTAACAAGGCCCACCACAGATAATATTTTGACATTTAGGGTTCGAAGCCATTTTTTCGGTTTTTGAATTATAGGTTAATATGAATTAATATATAACTGCTAGTATAAACTAAGCCTTATACTTTGTAGTAGGTATTCGTGTAACACTAATACTTAAGTATACACGTATAAATTACACTTATTCATAACTATAAAATGTAACACTTATAGTTCAAAGTATATGGCTTAATTTAAGTGCAACACTCATTTTTCATAGTTCTAGATCAAGTAGATATAATAAAGTTATGGATAGTTCAAATTATTCATATCGAATTGGCTTTTTAATCAGATCACTTTAGCTTATTAGAAAATGTACGTTTATCAAACAAGAAGCCAATAAGGTATCTGATACATTATACCCTATTCTGATAGGAGCATAATTGGTGCTTCAGCTTTTGGAAATTGTTGAAGAGCCTTGTATGTTTGAATGTATGCATATAGCTATTACGTGTTGTTGGTGTTGTTCAAGAATCTTAATATTGTTTTTATAAGTAGTCCTACGCCTAGGCACATTGATGAAGAGGGATTTTTAATTAGTCGTAGTTGAAAAAAATATTTCACTTCTATATTTGTAGTATAAATAAACACGTTAAACGCCATGATTTGCCTTCAACAGTTTTCTGTCGGCAGTCAAAGGCTTATAGGAATAAATAATAAAATATTAGAAGGCATTATTTTACTACTACTATAACGAGTAAATAATCGACTTTTGGCATCCATTGAGCAATGTAGGTATGGAAAATCAGTCTCAGTGGGTTGTGGGTACCCCTACTGTCAATGTCAGTTTAATTTTCCTATTGTTAAAATGTACTCTGTGAGTTTAATTGATATTTTAAATTTATTGGGACCCACAATATTAATTAACTTAAATATTAAAAAAGAATTAATTTACTGAAAAAACAGATCACCGTGTTGAGACTGGGCTTGAAATTTCGTTTTAATTATGAGTAGTTTTCATAAAACTAGTGATTCTCGTGTGACTATTAGTGGCACAAAAGTTAAAAACAATTTACCCGTAATATCATCTGGAATTCCTTCTCTAGATCATGTAATTGGTTAGTAATCTACTGCTTTGAATAAATAAATGTATGCACCTATTTGAAATCATTAGTTCACTCGATAGGCTCGTTAACAAGTACAATGAATTGTAAACATAACCTAAATTTTTTATTCCAATAATGTCAAGCATTTATATCATGATTTATAGTTCTGTTAGCAGAAATTATTACGAATTAATTATTATTGCAGGTGGTGGTTTACCTGCAGGAAGCATATTTGTGGTTGGTTAGTATACTTCTTTATTATGTTTATGTCTTTAATGTAAATGTTGAATGTGATAAAAGTATTAATTATAACTTTATTTCAGAGGAAGATGTTCTTGCTAATTATAGCAAAGTACTCATGAAGTATTTCTTGTCAGAAGGCATAGCTTGTAAACATGACTTGTGCATTGCATCAGCTGATGAAGACCCAGCCATCATTGTAAGTAACAAACAGCTTTTTATTAATATTAAATTTAACATAACATTAAAAAAGTAATAGTGGAATAGAATTAAGACACTAAAATTACTCCATATAGAAACCATGAATTATAATAATAATCCTTGGGTTTCTGTTATATTTATTTGTAATGTCTAATTTATATTTTATGTTTTTCAGGCCAAGGAGCTACCATTACCGACAACAATTCCTCAAGATGATGAAATTAAAACAGTTGCTAATGATGTAGATAAAATGAAGATAGCTTGGCGATATGAAGGGCTTAGTCAAGTGGAGTCTTCATTTGGTAGCAACGCTAGTTTCGGGCACCATTTTGATCTGAGCAAACACATTGATGCCAACACTATTGAAAATCATAAGATACATTATTGTAAATTGGAAATTGAGAATAGAAGTGCAAATGGTAAGTTGTATAAGGTGTTTTTATTTTTATAACACATATAAAGTTAGTGTTGATACATAATAATGTTAAAAACTATAATAGTCTCCTTAATGGAAGAGTCTACAAATTTAAAACTGCCCTTTCTCAATAGCTATCCATCATATCATATGTCATAGAACTCTGATCACTATTAATTAAGATACTAATATCACTATGTTGTGTAATGCCTAGTTTTCCATAACAACTTTCCATCAATGTACACCAATTTGTGTAACTATTATAATTATGTGTATCTATTATATCTTCTAACAATTTTAAATGTTCTTCTATCAATTTTATTGTTTTGTAAAAATAATATAAAATATTTTTATTTTATTTTTTCAGGTTTCAAAAACAATTTGTATAACAAATTATTGACTACTATTAGAGATTTAGTTTGTAAGGAAGAATATCAAAGTAGTGTTAAGAAAAACAGCAATATCTTAAGGATTGGTGTACATGCACTGGGATCTCCAGTGTGGATGGCAATGGACTGTGAGGATGAAGCCAGCACAGCTTATGGACAAGATCTGATCAAGTTCATGTATTGTCTGAGGGTTATACTCCGAGACACTAATGCTGTGGCATTTGTCACCATTCCAGCTCATCTATTTGATGTAAGTGTGCATGTCAATAAGAATATGAATTTTTTTTTGTATTTATTTTAATGATATTACACTATATTATGTCAACTGTGTAGTCGTTCAATATTTTATCACTACATATTCAACTGCATGGTTGGTGCGGTGGCTCGACAACTGGCTGCCATGCAACGTGTCGCGGGTTCGATTCACGCACAATTTTTTGTTTCGGGTCTGCGTGTCATGTTTATGAAATATTGTATGTTTGTAACCGCACCCAAGACACAGGAGAAAATCTACAAAAAGGACAAAAACTTTTTTTTATTAAAAAAAAATCATAATCACTACAAAACTTCTGTATTCCTAATAATAAAATTTGCTTATGTAATTTATAATTATATAGTGCAATGAATTAAAAACAAATTGGTGTTAATTATTATATTTTGCACTATTAATGTTTGGTTTTCATTCCCAGGATGATCACATAATGTCAAGACTACTGTATTCAGTAGATAACGCAGTCAGAATAGAATCATTTGCTGGCTCAAGTAAAGAGACAAACCCAGTATACAAAGATTACCATGGATTGTTCCATATAACCAAGCTGTCAGCTATTTATTCACTAGTTCCATTTGTACCACCCAGTCTTGACCTAGCATTCAAATTGAAAAGGAAGAAGTTTGTCATAGAAAAACTGCATTTACCTCCAGGTATACTTTCAATTAGTTTTTGAGTCACTTCTTAGATTATTCTATCAAGTATTTGCAAAATTTATCATATTTCAATATTCTTTCTTTGTCAAACTATAGTTTTATTGAAAACATACCTATCGTGTTAAGTTTAAAAAATTAATTTTATAATATACACTTTCAGAACTCCAAGAGACAAAGGAACGAGAGCAGGATGACATCACAGGTGTACCAAACGTAAATTGTGGCGGTTTCAAAAAGAGAGACATTGAGTTTTAATAAAATAAATTGTACCATATAAATAAGATACAAATATTTTTGTAATATATTGTACCTAATATACAGCTATGAATTGTTTTCAATGAGTGTTAATTAAAACCTTAGGTAATGCAATAGTTATAAATAAACATTAACGTTAGATGTCGCAATGTGCGCTGGTCTCCATAACGAACCTGTCTTTCCACAGAACGTGAAGGCATGCCTGAGTGATTCATGCATTAATTTTATACAAAAATGCTTTAATACTCAGTCACCCCACCTGTTCACCAGAGCGTATCTCCCTAAAACCGGCGAATCTATTCATCGCCCGTTTGTTTATTCACATACTCACACAAGTAGTTGGAACTACAACACTGGTCACATTTCTCCGCATCGTATTACAAAGTTTGTGCTCTCCATCCCAGTGCCCTTAAATATCTACCCATAATAAAACATGTGCAAAAATGAAACAAGTGCAAAAGTACTCTTCGGATGTTTCAATACCATATTTTTTGTAAGTAATCTATTTTAAATTGTTTCTTTTTTCTACTCGATTTCGAATCCAAATCGTTGTAATTTTTCTTCCTGGTGTGAAGGTTGCGAATACTTACAATGTTTAGAAATCAGCACTTAAGTATTACTTATTGACATGTTGATTATATTTCCAGGCATGTGGTTTTGTAGAAGTAATATGTGGATTCCTATTACTATGTGATTCGAAAAGAATATTGCTATCTCGATTACTGGCTGCTCCTGATGATGACTTGCTGACACATCCACCGTTCTACTACTTAGCCCTGGGTTTAGTGGCAGCTGGCCTGGCAATGTGTGCTACAGGAGCGCTCGGCTGTTGGGCTACCTACATGCCCAGTTACGCCGTACTAAGCATTGTAAGTTACCTATAAAATTACCATTTCTAAGTAATAAGCTGTCGTGGTGGCCCGGAGGTTAAGGCGTCCACTTCTTACACCCATACATTGGGGTGCAGGTTCAGTACCTTATCTCGAGTTAGGTATATGTACCTACTTTCTATGATTATTTAGACACCACTGATATATGGTGAAGGAAAACATCGTGAGGAAACATGGGCTTACCTACATATATGTAATGTTTATTATAAGTTTGAAATCGCCGTGGTGGCGATAAATGCCTAAACCCGTTTTTTTTATAGAGAGAGAGAGCATAGACATGTTGAGAGCTAAGACTGGTGTGACCCTGGTACCTTTTTTTGTCAGGGAAAATCATCAAATGACTTCTCCCGCCCAGGGCCGGGCGGGAGGGAGTGTCAGACTCTTACTGACTAAAACCCCCCCTGTTCCTTCTCCTGCTCTGGGCCGAGGTGCCTCATTGCGCTTTCCCCGCAACCCCGGCTGAACATCAGCCCTTTGGGGCCCCGTCTGTGGTGGTCTGTTGGCTCTTTGAGGCGCGCGCGGAACGCTACGCGCCGTACACTCGGGCCTGGGTCTGGTCGGGCGGCGAGCTGCCCTTACTCGCCGACCGCAGGCCCGTGCTTACGGTGGCCGGAGATCGTCCCTTGATCCCCGACGCCCGTAGTGTCGCCAGTTGCGGCTGCTGGGGCGTGAGGAGGAGGATTGCTCCCTCACGCGGGCCGCCTCTCTCTTTGCGAGCATGACTGCTTCACAAAAAGAGGAGACGGCGTCCCAGTTCCTCTCACTCCGCACCATGGCCTCGACTAAGGCCGGGCGCGAGAGGTCGCCGCCGCCGATCACTTCCCTGAGGATACGGCGGTGCTCAGCCCAGGCAGGGCATACCGCTACCGTATGCTCCACCGTATCCTCTAGGTGTTCCTCACAATGACGACACTCGGGCGTTTCCTCCCGCTGGATCCGAAACAGGAACCTACCGAAGCTGTCATGCCCGGTAAGCACCTGCGTCAGGCGGAAGGTGAGGACGCCGTGGCGTCTCTCAAGCCACTCCTCAAAGAGGGGTCTTACCGCTGCTATAGTAGCCTGCCCGATGCCTAAACCCGTGGCGACAAATCAATGAGTGAGAAGAGGCCATTGTTCAGCAATGGGCACTTATAGGCTGATGATGTAATGATGATAAAAAGTAATAATTTAAATAGCTGACATTGTTTTGAGCACGTTCCGCTCAAGGTTCAACTGATATAAGTATTCGGCATAATCAGCTATAAGTTTTTGGAAGTTCCAAGGCCGTTTAACACTTATTGAAGTGAGAACTGATAACAACATACTTACCTACCTAACTACGCAGTTGTGGTAAGTAGGTACCAACACATAATAGGTACAATAGGCCACACTACCCGAGGAATTTCTTAAAGTAGGTAACTAATCTGTCGGCGTACAAACTCTAAAAAAAATACAAGTAACAAGTTTAACAGTATCACGACCGTCTTACGTGTACCTACCTATTCATACTCGTATATATGCCAACTAGGTATAATCTCACAATTCAGTTGATATTTTAATAATGATAGATACTTATTTTTTCAGTACTTTCTGGTAGTACTTACAATGTTGCTTTGTGAATGCGCCGGCGGTGTCATTGCTGCTGTCTGGCCGCGATGTCTCGGCCTGCAAAGCACGCGAGGTGGCGCAGTTGGTGCCCTACAAACGTACTATGCTCTACCCGACTTCGAACATTTTACTGCAGCTGTAGATCTCGCACAAACTGAGGTAGGTAATCAATTATGATTGTCTTTTTGAATGCTATATAGAAAGCTAGCGTTGCTTCACGCCACTTTTTTATGTAGGTAATAGGACGGCGAACGAGCAGACGGATTACCTGATGGTAAGCAATTAGCACCGCCCATGGGGACCCGCTAAAGAGAAGTTACGATTGCGTTGCCGACCATTTAGGGGTTAGGGATTTGGTTGGGAATGGGGGCGGGGAAGGATTGGGTCTCCGGTAACCTCATTCACACGGCGAAACACAACGCTGTAGTTGTTTCACGCCAGTTTTTTGTAATGGTGTGGTACCACTGCAATCGAGCCGACCCATTCGTGCCAAAGCATGGCTCTCCCACACATGATTTATTCTTTCAGCGTAGGTATCTTACTTTGCCCAAGCCTGGAGTTATACCTGAGATTCCTTCATAGGTAGCCGTAAATAAAGAGGTATCTACACATATACCTACAAAGAATAAGCCTGTCGCCTTATAGTTATCTGATTCAAAAACCGAACCAGAGGCTCGATGTTCACACTTGTTGCAGTATGACCTGCAATTGTTTAACCAACTTTAATTTAAAAATTACAGTTGCAATGTTGCGGTATGACGGACGCTAGAAACTATGACATGTCGATCTGGCAGTTAAGGCGCCTCGGGCCTCGGGGTATGTCCGTCCCGCTCAGCTGTTGTGTACAATACGAAGACAACGTATCATATCTCAACCCTGCGCCAGTAAACGCATCACGATGCCAAGAAGTGCAAGCTAATCCCACATTTAGATATGTGCCTGTAAGTTACATTTTACTTCTACACACTTTGTCAACCACACTCTTTAAAACACTGCAACTCTTACATGACAGGGAATAATACTAAAATTTAGAATCATATTGAGTCCCTAGCCCCAGAAAAGAGTCACCCTGTCGATAACAAATGTCCTTACGTGGTTCATTTTGTCATATCAACACTTTCCTTTATTACCTTAATCTTACATTTCAGGGTTGCCTCGGACCTTTAGAAGACTGGTACCAACAGCAATATCTAATTCTAATGCTTGGTCTATTCATCGTGGCGCTATTCAAGCTAGGAGTTCTACTTAGCACTGTATTTTCCTGCATACGACTCAAAAGACGCAAGCAAATAATGCAGGCTTTCTCCATGAGATCTTTGGACAATAACACGAACGAAAATATTTATGAATGTAAACTTAGCACAGTACACGAAGAACCAATCACTGCCAAATACATCCAGCCCAATAATTTTTACAGCCCCAGATTACGAAACCCTAGAATTTTCGACAATAAACCGAATGAGGTCGTATGAGAATTAGCTACGGAGATAAATGCTTTAGAGAAGAAGTTGGAGAGGTTTTCAGATTATTTGTACAAGCATCAAGCTGACTCTATCATGTGGTGATCAGACCGTCAGCTCAGCAAACAGGACCTGCCCAGCTTTTAGCGTAATAAATGTAAGTTTTTGACTCTCAAAAAAATTTAATACGAAGTATGTGCCATAAATCTAATATTCTCAAACATTTACTACTTAATAAGAGCAAAGGTCCCGCAAAATTTCTATTGTTCTCTAAAGTACTTACTCCGGCTTTACGTTGGTACATATGTGTTCGATTAGTTTAATAATTAGGATTAAAAATAAATAAAACACATTCACTCAATATGCAATATTATTTTCAAAAGAACGTTCAAAAATTGGTCCTAAATTTAAAACATTATTAACAATGGCTCTGGAATGTTGCTATCATTCACAATAGTTGGTTTTACAGCTGTAAACTATTTCAGAGAGCTAACCTTCATCGATTGGATTGTTTATACATGATTTTATTAACTTCATACCCATTGCTGGTATACATTGATCAAAAATTCCTAAAGTTGTTTAACAACAGTTTTGTATTTACACTACTACGAAATAACGAAATGGGTGATTTGCATTCTCAAATACGAAAAAAATATATAAAAAGAAAATGCACTTTACAAAGAATATGCTACACATTCGATGAAAAAGTAAATAATAATGAAACCAACAAATTATTAATTCCAGAATCTCTCAAAACCCCAAACTAAAATGATACCATGAGATCCTTAACAATAACAATAATCTATGTATAATAATTGATACTATTTATAATCTATTGACCGTTGAGACCGACATCACAGTATAATCTACAATCATCTTAGGTACAGGAATGATCTTACTATATTCTTACTCCATAAAATTTACATTTTGCACTATTTTGATAAATCGAGCTGTCCCCAATTTAGAGAAATCAACATAATATGCTTAGCAACGAAAGTTCAAAGACAAAAGCTGAAAGAACAAAACCAATGAAATAAGGAAGCCGCACATTGGCTATGTTTTAGCTGAAGACGATGTAAAAAAAGTTGGAAGTTGTGTAAAGCGAGAAGCGAGTTGATCAGCCGGTAAGTGTGGCAACACGCAGTACCAACCAACGTTAACAGGCGGAAGTTGGAAATATTTGTTGTGTACTACGATGTTGCCACGCTTCATATACAACTTATAGTTTCCCAACTAAGAGTTATAATAAGTTAAAAGCCGCCAATTATCTATCAAACTGCCATTCCGCATAGAAACAGTTGTCATGGGCTGATCGCCTCGTATAAAATTATGTTTAGGTAATAATTATATTTACTATGTCAAAACATAGCTGTCTGTCTATTGCCCCATATATTTAATTTAATATTTTCATAAATAAATTCATTAACGTAAATAAAAATATTGTCTTTTGTGCTTTTTACCTTATAAACTACAATAAAATTTGCAATAAATATACATTAGCCTACTCTGCAGCTAAATAATAATTATCATAAGAAGAATAAGAATGTCAGTTTCATGGATACTCTGAGACTGTCGGTAGTATATTTAGCTTACAATTAATATTACAAACATTTAAAATTAAAATATTTACAAAGGAATTATTAACAATAGTAAAACCTATAAACACTACGAAATTGATATTTTTCATAATAAATATAGTCTACAAAACAATGTGGTCCAAAATGTAAAGAGGCGCTTACTTGTCGGTTGCTTACGATATACTCGTAAGCGGGTTCTACTGACCATACTCCACTCTGGCCATGTTAAATTCCTGTGTAATAACTTTGGTCATCATTTGTTCCATATTGGTCGTACATTTGTATTTTAGAAGATATATTAAACACATTATGTAGACAAAACCCGAATATGATAAGTCTAATTGACTTTCAATTGCGTCAATTAGTAAATTACATTAGTCTAGAACGCACACTTACAGCTGTGCAAAAGATATAATTTAAAGGATGTCGTTTAAGAAGGAGTTGTCTAAGGAGTTTAGTAGCTCCTGAGCGGTGAGATTGCTAGCGTCCGTGGAAGGCATGTTGTCGAGGAAGTCAAGGTTGAAGTCTGTAGTTTGTCCGGTGAAGGAAGACGTGTTATGGAGCGATGGGAACGAGTGCTGCGCCACGTTCCCGTTCTGACTCTGCATGGCGCCATTCTGAGACATCATGGAGTTCTGCTGCATCGGGTTGCTCTGCGCGTGCATTGGTCCTTGGCCTTGCATCGGCCCGTTCTGCATAGGGCTGCCCTGATGTCCCATGCCCATGCCACTTTGTTGCATAGACATGCTCTGAGATTGGCTCATGTGGATATTTGGCATCTGTAAAATAATGTAATAGTCGCTGTAGAAAATTAAAAATACGAAATACGTATTTTGCCCTAGGCATTAAGTCCATCTATGTACTCAGTGTGAGACAATGACTAATTAATAATATACCTAAATACATAATTTAAAATTGGCGAACGGTTAAATCTATGGTATGGGAATAGTGTCAATATCAAATACAAAAAAATTAAATCGTAAATTTTTACTATACAAAATACATTCATTGAATCTATGTTAAAGGATCAAAAGTTTATAAATGTTATAAATGAAACGTAATAATTATTACCTGTCCTTGCACGCTCATCATCTGGTTCTGTTGCATAATGAGATGAGACATGGGCTGTTGTTGGTTGGACGCCCTACAAAGTAAACAATAACGTGAGCAACGGCATAATAATACCAACAAATAGATTTGTTATGGTTTCAGTATGCAGTGTCATAAATATATGTGTATACTGAGAGGCAATACTACAGTTCTTATTATAAATAAGCATGTAAAAAATAGGATACATACCGCTGTTGCTGCTGGTGTTGCATAAGCTGTTGCTGTTGCAGGCGCGCTTGCTGCAGCTGCATTTGTTGCTGCTGTTGCTGCGTCATGCCACCCATTGTGCCCATATTGAATCCTGAAAGTAAAATTTTTCATTATCAGTTCTATATTCATGTTCTAAGCCTTTGATAGAGAGCAATCGCTTCAGACTTTTTATTTTATAGCTAACCTTCATCTGTCAGTAGATTTAGCTAATAAACATTAGAGTTCTGATATAAGGTCCTAACAAAGCTACCAACAGATGGTTTATATGAAAGTTAGGTCAGTGACAATGGTAATGGGTTGGTTATGTACCTTGGTGGTGGTGCGGGAACTGTTGCCTGGAGGCGGCCTGTTGCTGCATGAGCACGTGGCGCCACTCGGGCGAGTACTGGCGCGCGTGGTGGGGGAAGGGCCGCGCCTGCGGGGCCGGCGGCCGCCGCACGCCCAGCGAGCCTTGGGCCGGGCCCCCGCCGGGGCCCACGCCGGGACCCACGAAGCGCGCCTTGTACTCGGGCGGCGGGGGACGCATCTGCTGCTGCTGCGCGCGCAGCATCTGTTGTTGTTGTTGCTGCAACATCTTCGCTTGCTGCTCCCGCGATATGCCCGCTGCTGCCACGCCTGTAAGGACAATCAAGGTCGTTATCGTGTTTCCAGAGTAGTTCTCCATCGAATATGAACAAGCTACTTTTGTAAAACGTAAATTGGAAAACAATAGTGTAGTATAGATGTAAAAGTAGAGTGATACTGACCGAGTGGTGGGCCGCCCTGTTGCGAGCCCTGCTGTTGTGGGCCTTGCGGCCGCGCTCGCATCGCCTGCGAGAAGTTAATGCTCTGCGACTGGGACACTGAGTATGTGTCACACCCACCGCCTGCGAAATAAAACATGCGTTAATTATGAGCTTGATTGACTATAAGAGGAGAACTTAATGTTACTTAAACCACAGATTTGAAATTGAGAGCGGTTATTAATTTGAGCAGTTAGTTGTCAACTTTAATGTAAACAATTGTAGATTGTGTGAACGTAGGTATTAATAATAATGGGAATTCACAAATTTGTTATCTAGATATTGTTGGTAAAACCTGTTCGTAAGGTAAACCCAACCTGTGCAACTAACAGGCTTAGAGAAACCAGGTTTTCCTAGAGGTAAAAATATAAATATGGTTCATTGAAAAAAGTCATAATAAATAGGCAAATCTTCCTGATATTGTTTTATTAAAAATAAGACATAACTGGACTATTGCTAACAAATTCCATCTGCTTGTTATATAATTAAGTAGGTACGATTACTGTATAAACGACGACAGTTAATAATTCAACCCAAAATATACATTACGTAGCATCAAAACATGTGAATAAATGTAGAGTGGGATGCATATCATGTAAGTGCAGCGCGCATACAGCGTAGTGCGTAGGTAATAAACACGTCAATCTAATGTCATCCTCATCCGAGGTGCGCGACTTGGCGCATTCTCGCAGAGCGTCAACCTCGGCCCTCCGCCCCTCGACCACTCACCACACGAATAATGTACACTGACCTACAGAAGATCCACAAACTACAAATAATTAGGTTTAGTCAGTGTCTTTTGTAACTGACTGTATTTTGATTGCGATACGCCGAAAACAATTGTACGTCATCATTACGCTTTTTAAATAAGAGACGATCAGTGTCATTCTTACAGGAACGAAACATAAATGCATATACCTACCACAACTGTTCTAAATGATCGCCTTTAGTATGTAGGATAAAATACAAATTTTATGAATTTCGTATTCTAATTGAGATGTTCAAGGGAAATTTTCTCTGTCCAATTACATACAAACATCTCGAAGCACTAAGATCGTTAAGGGTAGATTTTGTGATGAGTGGGAGTGGAGCTTCTGTCCGTTCTAATTTTACAGTAACCACACATACGCCACCTTGCATTTACACACACGCTATCACTTAACGCAATAGCATAAAGATGCTAATAGTTTGATTGTGGACACGTACCACATTACTAGTTATATTATGCTTGTAACTTACGTAGGTACCTAGAATGTCCAAAGCGCATGTGTTTATGAAAAATAAACCCAGCACGCGAGGTTTCTTTGTTTTTTAATACTTTATACCTGGGATCCAGATAGCCATCGATTGCTGCGACTGTGTAATACCGCGATGTTATTGTGCACGCCGCACTTAATTTTATAAAAGTACTTTTACATGTCATGAGACAAACCCGCTCTTCGCAGGGGAGTTTAATATCGTAAAGATTGGAGTAGCTATTTCCGAGGGTGTGAACACCAGTCATTCATTGTAACAGAGAACTAAACGAACGAGTAACACTGAGATGAAACTAATTGAATGATTAATTCCTAAGTATTTTCAGCAATATGTTTGTGAAACCGCAATCCGTCAGTATTCGAAAATAGCATATTGTGAATTACTGGCCACTCAATGACTCTGTCAGTATCAATGGACCGGAATTGATTCATCATTTCTGCGTGTCATTAGCATGACTCCCCAACCTTAAGTAAAGGACGCCAGAATACGCATGCGCCTCACACGAATTTGCAAATTTTACTTTAATTAAATTCTGAATTAATGATTATCGTTTGCAATTACTTTATTTGCCTGAAGAACAAAGTGGTTCCATTAACTGTACTGCATTGCGATTAATTTATACTAAAATAAATCTATACAGAACATTTCGTTGTCATCAGCTCATTTAGCCTACCATTATCTATTACAAATTACCTTCATGAATTGAAATTGGTATTTACAAATTCATCTCATCAATGTGAGAATCTACAACCGTTGGGTTGCGGAAATTATTATCTGGAGTGGCGACCACGCCTATGCTAATGTAGCATAGAGCGCCATCCAGCTAGCTAGAGCAAATACATATTATATGGGTAAAGTAGACGACAGTATTTGGCTATGAAAAACTGATGATCGAACTTGGTTTGGGACAATTTACGTGCATGCTTAATACCCAGCATTGTTCGGTGCGGCGTGTTAATGGCGAAGGTTGAACGCTAACTCTTATCCTTATTTATACTCCAAAGTAAGTTGTTGAAGATATTTACCTTGATGGTGTTGTGGTGATGGCGTGCCCTGGTTGTGGAAGCTGGCATACATGCCCTGCTGGGCTGCGACGGACACATGTCCCCCGCCACCCCCGCCGCTTACTTGCATGTGCTGTGCCGCTGACACCTGCCACATAAACGTAATTATTACCATTACATACAACGTAACGTAGGTACACGTACACTAGTAGGTAATATTGTACATATTTTAACCTTATATACTAATTAACACAGGGTGGCATTTTGAATGAGGGATATATTTGGTGCTCAATTACAACACCTTTCCCCATAGGACCAATATCGAAATCTCAAAAATAAATTTATTTCCCCATACAAATCGGAACAGCCGATTGATTATTTTGCACGGAGAAGTTTTTTTGAGATTACCAAATTGGTCTTAAGGAAAAGTTGTTTTATTTGAGCACCAGAATCGGGTCCTTGAATATGTCCCTCGTTCAAAATGCCACCCTGTGTAATGTCTACTTTATTATAAAAGGGTTAGGGTAGAAAAACCCTGTGTAATGTCTACTTTATTGCAAATCTATAGAGTTGAAAATCTAATAATATTACATATTTTAGGTAAACCAAATCTACAGTATGTGATTAATATGTGCACAATAAAAATACTCGTGAGTTGTAAAGACCAAAGATGGCTCCTAGATCAAATTAAGTACATACAATTGGTTGATTCGTTTCTTTCCTCGTCTCTATGTAAATGTCTTTACTTAATTACGTACCTATACAAGTTCAGGACGACAGTAATTAAAACGGGTAAGTAATTGCTTTGTAAGTGTAAAATTGCCCCATAGTGCTACATAACAAATTGAAATTGCTGTTAACTAGAAAATTAGATTTAAACACTGGCTATCATTATGTATCCTAGTTCTCGGATCTGGAAAACGTAGACAAGCAACATGAGTAGATACTTATGTAAAAAGACGAATCATTAGATCGTTCTGTTATTATACCTTTTATATTTGAGGTATAAATTATGTTTTCAGTTTCTTTTTAAGTGTAATAAGGTCTTTTTTTATTACACAAGTATAGGTTAGGTTAGGTTAGGTTAGTTAGGTCGTATTAATGTTGCACGGAAACTGAACTGCCTTCATATCAAAACGATACACAAAACGATAAGTTTTATCCGCAAAGAATAAAATGGTCATAAGTTCGATGATGATTCTCAAAGTACCATAGCGTATTATAATTAAAACTTTGTATACACGAGTGTAATACATTCTAAAGCAGCAGTTTCTGTATCAGTAAGTGTAGTGGACCGATAATAAAGTCATTGTATTCCCAGATAACCCAACACGTGAGTTTTATTAATTAGCAACTAACATTTTATCAATTCGTTCAGACCCCGCTAAACTCAGTTCCTGTAATAATTTTCAAGTTTTAA